GTCAAAGCCCGTATTTTGGGTCCCCTCATTGAAGAAAATCAAATGCCAGGTTTGCTTCACTGTTTTTAAAGATACAACTTCGCAAATGAGCCGCTGCATGAAGCTAGTCTCAGTTTTGCGGAGATTACCAAGATTGGCATGGTAATCGAATGTTATTGGGATGCACCCACATTTCAAGTGCTACCGTCACATATTTGACTCTGAAACTGTTTAGAGATCTTTCTTAACATTAATTATTACTTCTCCTAATGTATACTTTGTTTCCTGTTTACTCTTCGTAATCAAAGTTTGACAAATTCAAGACAAGGTGGTAATGCTCCACATACCTCCAACATCTTGAAAATAATTGAAGCCTTGCCAAGTACAGTTGTAAAGGGAATCGTTCAACTGGAAGTCCCCACATGGAATGATACGAACGTCAGAATTGTCTGCAGATGGGCTATTTAATGTTGCAGAATCAAGCAACTTTTGGAGAACCAAACTATGAATTAATAGCTATTTCGGTTACCTTTGGTATTGTTTTGCGCATTTTGCAGAGTGCTGTGGATGATGCAAACGAAGGGCCGTTATTCTGTGTTCAAAATGACAGTCTTTCGCGACCATCGTATTCGTCGGTGCAGAGGACTTGTTGGTCGGATGCACATGGACTCCAAAGTGATTTCCAGAAAATTGTTCGGTTATTAAAGAAAATCCCCGATAGATTATTCATGTTTTATTCGGTGCGTTGCTACCTTGAATTTCTTTTGAAGGGGACCTGATCACTGAAATTTTTTTTTTAATCCTATAAGCTTGCTAAAAACTATGCGTTTGTATAATGTTGTATAATGTAAGCAAAATGCTGTAAAAGAAAGTTACGGTAACTGTAAATTCATAAAATTACTTTGATTTCTTGCTGACAGCGGTAATTTTCCATTGTGGAGTACTTTTGCATCATTAGCGTTAGCGGATAGTTTCTTCGTGGCTGCTGTAACTGGAACAGTGAATTATCTCTGCGATCTTGGTGGCATGATATATTTGCCAATATTGCCCGGGCAGTTAGAGTGGATATTTCATGTAAATGATATTGAGATATCATACACGCTGAACATAAATGTGCGAGGCGTTTTGATGCTGAGCTGAATATTTCAAGTTTGAACTCGCCGATTGTCTGATTGTGTATGCTCCATGATTTCGAAGGCCGTACTGGTGGTCGTTTACTTTCTTGCGGGTACCATTCACTAATACGTGACGCCCACTGTTGTGCGCAGGACAGTTGGCATGTTCTGCCAACGAATTTTGTTTTCAAGGCGGCACGATAATATGATTGTTACTAAAATTGCGATTAGGCGTACCTGAATATCTTTTCTGTGTTTTTGCGCTGTGATGCTTTTTCCTGGCGGCATTAACCTTTTCCCTTTCCTCTTCGCGGTCCAACAAACAGCGGTAAAAAAAAAGCGTAGTTTTGGTTTCCTCTTCGAAAATTTGTGTATTAGTCTTCAAAAAACGCATTTTATCCATCAAACTACATTTTCCTGTTTTTTTTTTCGACGTTGCAGATCAGTTTATTCAATTACTTTTTTGTAGGAACTAAACAGAATTCACGCTTACTGCTGTGCCATCGGTGCGCAGGGTATACTTGATAAACTGGCCGTTGTTTTGCAACAAGAAGCATCAGCGCAGGCACCGATTATACGGAGACATGCAGCGTATGCAGTTGAACAACTGAGGTTACCGCTACTTTTTATGCATTTTTTGCATCTACGCAATGCAGAAAACGCATGCTGACGAGAGGTTGTGTGTGTATGTGTGTGTGTGTTCGTCTGTACCGATTTTTCATCTCGAAACCTACAAAACCTATAGGGCTGAAACTTTGGGAACTTAATCTATATGCGTGTACGGGCCCCATTTCCAAAATGGGCGCTCTTACCCGCGTAGTGCCCACGTACGGGTCCGCCAAAGTTTTCGGATAAGCTGCTAACTCGAGAGCCTGAAAACCTATCATAGAAGACTGGAATTTTAAGGGGATGTTTCATGTCCAAGTAAGTATTAATGAGCTCAAACCTAGTCCTCGAATGTGCATGGTAACCGGTGCCGTTAGCGACAAAAATCTGCGGTGAACTATACAAAAAACGCATCTTCGCACCGGTAGTGAGTGCGTTGGCCAATTATTAGCGTTTGTTTATTGACCAAGAAAATGACGTAGATTCGGTAACTGGTGTTTTCGTACTTTTTTGCGTCTGAATGTCGTAGATATTTAAGGCTTTTTTGATATGTGAGCACGTGTAAAAGCTGGTAGCAACTGGTCTGGTCTCTATCAGAATTTCCGATTTTCAATTTCTTTATCTCCAGGCCCGGATTTAGACTTAGAAGCATATTTTTAGTACGCAGTGAAGTTAACTTGCATGTTTCGACGTACTTGCGCTGTGTTATATCTTGATTTAAGCTACAGAATCTAAGCTCTGCAGCTTACCTTTTTTTTGGAGATACGAAATTGGAATTTATCTTTGATTTCTACGTTACAGGTCAGGGCTGGTGAACGGAATCTGAACTTCAGAGCTTTTCCATATCATCGGGTATTGCATCAGAAATCCCAGCCGCATAACTTACGCAGTTCCTGGATTAAATTATCCGACGGCACTCTAGACAGAATCGTTCTATACCTAAATGTAAAATACAGCAAAATAGAAGTGTTTAATTTGCTGGGGTCAAAGCAATCGGAAGCCCGCTGGGTGCGTAGTTGAAGAATCACTTCACGAGTTCCAACTCACCCAAGTATCCAAGAGAGTTACTGGTCAGGATAAGCATGCCCAAGCATAAATAGCACATTTATGCTTCACTTTTGTTCAGCGATTCCATTACTGCTGAATGTCCTTTTTATCGTTGCTGAATTCAGGACATTGGGTCTGAAGCATTCGACTGAAATCCGGCCATTGCAGTGAAATTTATTGGAAATATACTGTAATCTGTCAACAGCAATTTTCGACCTCTCTATCTACAAGTTCGCAATGATTATACCTATACTTTCTTGTATTGCTTTTGTTTTAGATGCATTAATTTTGTTTGTAAACTTTTTGGATTTCTTTACCAACTCCAGTAATGGAACAATTTTTTTTTCTTTTTTTTTTTTTTATGTCATCGTTTTATCAATTGTTCTGTTAATAATTCCTAATTTTTCTGTTGTTTCAATTTGTTGTACGTGAACGTGGAAGAATACGACGAGCAGCATCTGTGATGATCTTAGGGTGATTTGCGTATTTTTCCTTCATCGTCAAGAACCATTCTTTCATTTTGTGCAGTGTTTGTTCACAATTCTTCATAGATGGTGGTATAAATGCGCGAATGCGTTGCCCACGTAGGCCCATATACCTCGAGGTTTTTTGGGTTACGAGCAGGATCGATCATCACCCAAAATGGGAGTTGTAAAGGCGAACTTGTCGCCTTGCCTTCCTTACCCAAAATGATAAAACTCGAAAATAAAATAAAATGCTGAATCATCTTTCGATGACATTCCGTCGGGAATCGGCGTTCCCACCGGAGATCGGATCTCCGACGGGAGACTGTGGTTGCAGAGTTTGAGCGACTGAACCGGGAGAAGCTTATGCTAATGAAAGGTTCTGCTACGCTGCATGTCCAGTAGCTGTGTCTGAAATGTGGCCGTGCTTCAGCGTATTTCGTAGGGTCCTTACTTTGCGATTTGAGAAGTTGTTGTGTGCCCTTCGTAGGAATGGCTTCATAAATTTTGTTATGCGAAGTTTGCGCCTTTTTAGTATAAAGCTAATTTTGGATGTTTAGAATGCATTTTGCAAGTCTTTTTCATGCATTACATAATAGTATTTGCATTCCACATGTCCTGCATTAGCAAACGTTGCTGATAAGTACAGTATATGTGTAAAGGCAAATCACGGATGCATAAGATCTGGTTGACTCTCAACTGTATCGGAGTAGCAAGAGATCTGTCGCGAGAAGAGCATTTTGCCGCAAAGCAAGCGGACTGTGAGGAAATCACACTTCTCATTTTCGATGTCTTCAGATGCATCAAACCATTACATGGTTTGTCCATTCTCATTTAGCATTTGGAGCATACGTATGTCCCCAAGATAGGCTGTAATAGATGAGCTATATTGTGCCTTGCTTTTGCCGTAAGCATTGCACACTTTTTCCCATTTCTGCTGATTTTTTGCATGTAACCATCACAGGATTGCAAATTTTTTTGCAATTTTTTGTTTTGATACCAGGGCAAAAATGTGGTTATGTTGTTTGTATTGTTCTTCCTGTTTGTGTCTGTTATCAAACTGATGTTAAAAGCATTGAATTCTACACATACAGACGCATTTTCTATTTTTGCGTAAATTTTTCAAAAGTGCTAGTGCAGAAAGAAACTGAAAAGTTAGTGATGGAAATGCTTGATTTTTATGCGTTTTGTGCTGTGTAACAGCAGTACAAAACGCATATTGTTACGGGGTTGTCTG